AGACTACAGAATGATGATTTCAATCTGCAAGATGTGGTACAATCAGTCTGTCATCACGGGAAGCGGTAAAACAGGACTGAGCACTGGAAGGGAAAAGAAGATGTGGAGAAGGGCCTTTGTTTTTTCTTTTGGGAACCAAAGAATGTTCTACTGAAAGGACTGTAGAGACTATGCAATCCAACCTACTCACTTCTCAGAGAAGAAAAATGAAGCCCGGGGAACAGATGGGCTTCTCTTCTAGTCAGATGGGGGCTTAAAAATATGTATGTATATAGATATTTTTCATGAGCTCTAGTGAAAGTGACCAGTGTTATCTCATTTCCTGGCTTCTCAAATCCAGGATCCAGCCAAATTTAACTATTATTTATAGTCTGAATATACCTTATTCTTTCTGACTTCCTACCATCGTCCTGTCACATGGGATGCCACTGCTCACTCTCGCAACTTCTTAGCTTCCAGCTTTTGAAAAGTTTTCATCCGTCAGTGACTAGCCCATAGATCCCGTCTCTTGGACAAACATTTCCTTGCTGAAATAACATTTCATAAATGTACCTTCTGCTACTTTGGAGCTGGAAGATCATCTCAATTTTCTGTCAATGCCAACAAGTAATATAATAATAGCATCACATTTACATATTACCAATTATGGGTTGGGAAGCTTACCTATATTTTATCTCATTTAGCCTCCAAAATAACCACATGACACTGGTACTAACTTAATCATGTTGTACAGATGAGAACAACTGCTGAAGTAAGTTTGAATTAGATGTTCAGGGTCACTCAGCTAGGGGTGGCTCTGAAAGCTTATTATAAACACCCTATATGCCATCATTATGCTGGTGAGAAGAGCAAGTGAGATTATTTAATTTTTTTCCTAGTCTCAAATCGCCCCTATCCAAACAAGTGATTAATATTTGAGGACTGAAACTTCCTAGTTAATGGACATAAGCTCCCTGAATTTCCAAACTTTCCCTAGGTTAAAGTTTGTACAAAAATATAAGCATGGCTTCCTAAACTTTAACTTCAGTGAGTGAGTGTGTGGGAGACTTTTCCTAGGATGAAGTTCAGTGATGGTGAGATCTTTGCTCCTGTCTGTTAGAACTGCTTTGGCTCAAGCTGATCCGGTCAAATAGTCCTCTACACATTACGCAGAAGGAAGATTTACCTCCCCCAGTCTACTGGAGATTTCATCTCAGCTTCTTGACCTGAGTACAGTATTTTATGTATATGTGTTTTTCCTAGAGATATATTTTTATAATGTTCCCTTTGTTCCTCGAAGATTCCTTGAATAATGGATGTTAATATTGGCCCTCATGGTCTAAGAACTATGATGGTGGCAAAAGCACCCTGATAACTATCAAAGCATAAGGAGATTTTCTGAAAGGATGAAAAGAAGCCAGGGTGGGGTGGAATAGTTTCTTTTGGATTTCAATAAAACAAGCCCTTTTGGAGTTCAATGATAGGGAGTCTGTGATAGTTTGCATTGTCAATGTCTCCCAGAGGCCCATGCGCTGAAGGCTTGGTTCCTTGTCCCTTCGTCCTATCGGAAGTTAGTGGAACCACCTTGGAAGGGGATATGGAGACCGTGGCCTTTTTTTCTCTCTTTGCTTCCTGGCCACCATGAAGTAAGCAGCTGCATGTGATCACACCCTTCCAGCTGCTTATGCTGGACTCCCACCCTTTGCCCTGCCTCAGCTGTGGGCTTGCTGCATTCAGTGGTGGTGTTCCAGCCGTGGAGCTCTGTGTCTCCACAGGCTCTGAAACCACAGAACCGACTGGCCACAGACTGAACCCTCTGAAATGAAACATCCTTTTCCGAATATATTTTATGTCAGGTAATTTGTCATAGAGAAGGGAAACTGTCCTCAGAATATTAAAGCAGTTGGGAACCTAAGAGATTTGCCTCTACCTCTGTTGTTTTATGACCATCTGAGACTCAGCGTCCCTTATCTGGTTGTTTTTTTTTTTTTTTTTTTTTTTAATTTTAGGGAAGGGAGTCCACCATCGAGTGCGTGCTCTCGCCTCCTACCCACACCATGTCTTCTCACAAGACTTTCAGAATCAAACGATTCCTGGCCAAGAAGCAAAAGCAGAATTGCCCCATTCCTCAGTGGATTCATATGAAGACAGGTACAACTCCAAGAGGAGACACTGGAGGAGGACCAAGCCAGGACTGTGAGGAGTTGCACATGAGCTGCGACCCATTTACCCTCAGGAAGGTCACAAGACGATGTCATCTTTTAATCATGGTCAAGACAATACTGAATAAAGTTTTAAAAATAAAAAAAAATAAATTTTAGGGAAGGGTCTACAGGGTGCTCAGGATCTCACTACTAGATTGGACTTGTAGTGATCCACCTGTTTACAGCCTCCCAAGAGCTGGGATTACAGGAGCGTGCCACCACAGTGTCTCAATTTCTGTCTCAGTGCACCCTGGGGGCAGGGCCACCACAGGAGGCCTAGGGATCGAACCCCTGACCCCTGCACCTGCTTGCAGGCACTTAATCTGTTGAGCTATTTGGCCAGCCCTTAGCATCCCTTATCTGAAGCCATACAGTTCAGACCTCAGAAGAAAGAGATCAAGTTGTGATTCTGCTTATAGTCCCTCCACATTAGTTCAAATAGCATCATGGTAAAATGATGACTGTTACAAAAAGGGTCCATATAAAAATCTAATATCTTCACACAGCCCATGGAAGCAATCCTTTGTCATGTGGCTCCAGGAGGTTTTATGCAGGAAACAAGCCTTTTCTCTTGTTTTATCTCATCCTCAGCTTTGCAATATTATCCTTTATTAATGAAGCAACATCGGGCTGGCCTGATAGTTCAGCAGACTAAGATGGCTGCTTAGGCAGAGTGCAGCGGCCGGGGTTCCATCCCCAGTGCCCCTGGGGGCGCACTGAGCTGGCGATTGACACTGGGTGTGGTGGTGCATACCTGTAATCCCAGAGCTTGGGAGGCTGAAAACAGGAGAATCACTAGGAGTCCGACATACATAGTAAGACCCTGTAGACCCTATTCTAAATACAGAAAAAAATAAAATAAAATAAAAAAGCAATACTATGTATTTTTTCCACTGAAGATGGAGAAGGGAGAATTAGGTTGACTTGTGGTCAGCGTTGTAATTTGCTATCACATATCTTTAATTTTCCACTTTTTTGTCTTTTTGAGACAGAGTTTCACTATGCAGCTCGGACTGGCCTCTAGCTCAGTTTGTAGCCTAGGCTGGTCTTGAACTTGCCATGATCCTCCTGCCTCAGCCTCCCCATTGCGGGGATTACAGGTGTGTGCGACCATGCCTGGCTGTGTTTTTTCTAAGACCTCAAGGACAGCACCACCAGGACACCAGGATACAGGAAGTGGAAGAAGAATGGACGTTTTACCCTCCCAGGATGTAACCATCACAGCCTCAGAACACATTTACACAGGGCCAAGGAATTGTGATTATCGTTCTGTATATGTTGAAACCAGGCTTGGTGAGCAAATACTCTTTCTAGGCAGAATAGCAATAACTTTCCTCTAACTCTATTTTTTCGAAGACCTTAACTCCAGCATGATAAATACAGAGACCAAAGTCCTTGGGAGATTCCAAATGCAAGGAACACCCCTCCGCCCCCTCCACATTCATTACCCAAATGAATTTATGCACGTGTGCTACCAGGCAACTATAGAGAACACACACAAACACGTTCATGTCATAATCTTTACTGCCCAGTGAGTCTGAAAGCATGTTGAACTTCTGCCTTTGACTGAGAAAAAATTAGGGTATTTAACAGGTTACACTTCCTTTATCACATACGAAATGGAAAGTTATGTTCAGCAGAACTATCACTGTACAGTGAGCGTGGAAATGTTCTTCCCAGTGATGCGCTGATTTTAACAAAATGTTACCATAATGAAGCAGCATATTTAACTCACGGAGGTTTTTTATAGCAGTTCTCTGTATGTGCAAAGTAAAATCTGATGATGTCTCCAAATAGAGTCTTTACCCTTCCTTCCCCCCCTTTTTAAATAAAGAACTTCAAGGGCAGAGTGTGAAGGTTTAATGATAAAAATATGAAGAGTAGGATTCCTATCATTTTTAACCAAGAATAAGCTCCATTTCTCAGTTTCTTGCCCACTACAAGTCCAGTTTTTAAGAAATCAGAGATCATTTAAAATAATGTCTTTCTAAAAACATTCTAGCTTTTAAGAAATCAGTTACTTTAGGATTTAAAGTAATGCTGAATATCAATCACTGCACATTGCTTCTTTCCTTTATGAATACTTTATGTAGCTAAACAACTTCCCCCAGTACTCATAATTGCCACTGTCCTTCACTAAAGCCAAATCAAGAAACGGATGGCAGGCTGCATGCATTTTGTCCCCGTGAAGCTTCGCCATCTTTATAGAATCCCAAGTCAAGTCATGCGTGACAAGATCAGAGCTGAACATAGATTTGTCTCATCAGTCTAATTTTCCATTCTGGATCTAACTGTTATTTTCAGCATACCCAAGAGGTGACCAGGTAGGAATTTCCAGACTGTGGCTGGTGACAGGGGACTTGCTTCTTGCTACTGTCATTGCTCCCTCTGTTCAATAAGTCCCACCATTTGCTACTTCTTTCTCACTTTGAAGAAAAATCTACTTACTCTTAACTTTTGCCCAGACTTTGCTCCTGAGCTGTTGCAGGGTATCTTTCTTCACACATGAATGTGCAGTCTTGTTTCCTGGCCTGAGACTTTCCTTTTTCTGATGAGACACCCACAGTTCTTTTGATTTGTCTTTTGGTACCTTGGGTACACATCTGTCAGTATCAACCTTCTCTGAGAAAGCTTGCCGCTTATCAACCTATCATAACTTACCAGTTTCCCTTTAAAAGTATGCATCTTAGAATTTATGCAGCCTTTACCAGCTTTTGGAAATCATCACCACTGCAAGATTTTCCTTGCTTTGTAACCAGGGCCCTATTGTTCACTGTCCTCTTTTGGCAATTGTGGGTTTGTGATCTGAGAACCTACCTTTGCCAATGTCTCATCATCCAGGTGATTCTTCTGAATCACGTGTTGAAGTGCAAAATAAATTTTTTCCTGAAGCTTCTGGACCTTCCTTGGTTCTATCAGCCAGGCTCGGTCTAACAACATCATCAACAACAACAACAACATAAGAAAGGAGGAAACATAAGCTCTGTTTTATTTCACCTACTTATATAAGTGCTGACTTTCACACCATCCCAAATTACTTAGTTCTACATTGCTTGTGAAGACTTGTAATTATTTATATAAAACATAAATATTTTATAAGCAATAATACCATGATGCCAGGGATGCAAAATGTAATGCAAAATATAATCTCTGGAGGAAATGATACAATAAGCCCCTTCATGTTTCACATTTCTCTCACTTTCTTTGGACAGATACTTAGATTTTCTTTCAAAGTAGACATTAGCAATTTGTGCAGAAAATGGATTATTAAAGTCAAGAAATCCTGTTATATAGGAATTTATTTGTGTTCAGGACTTTTCTCATATTATTCTTTCTTCATATATAAAGGTGATGATACAGTTTATATAGCATAAACATGAGTTGACTTCAAGAATTTATTCCTGAATTCTATTCTTCCATACTCAGTTTTTAGCTAGATAAGGTAACCTTTCCTGCCCTCCATGCCTCTTTTCCTGCCCCTCTTTCTCCTGCACATCTTTCCTTTATTCCTCCTCCTTTCTTCCTTTGAGCCTAGAAACTTCATACACACTGCTGACAAAGTGCAGACCAGTATCCAGTGCCTTAGCTTGGTCTTTCAATGAAGGGACGCCTGGAATCTCCAAAGGCTGAACAAATACTGATGGAAGAGAACTTGGACATGACCTTCCTGAACACAGTTCAGGTCAGGCAAGAAACCCGACTCTGTAACCCTACACAGGGCAAGGATAAGTCTCGCCAGGGGTTAAGCAAACCCTTACGTAAGTAAGCACAAAGGCCTTCAGTGACAATTGTCAATCAGAATAAATTAAGCTTTCCTCTTTCTCCCTTCTCTAAGTTATCTGGAGCTGAATAGATGGTGGCTATTGAATCAAGGATCTGGGAAAGGGTGGGTCTGGCATGAAGTGGACACATGCCAAAGATGGATCCACTCTCTCCTGAATGAGGCACCAAACCAGGGTGGCAAAGGAGGTGTTTGGAGTGATGAAGCCCCTGCAGATGGGTCTGCTCCCAAGGCTGGCAGACTGCACTAGGCAAAGTAAGCCAGAGCTCATGCTTCTAAACTGCACACTATTCAATGTTGGCATGTCCTTGTGAGACAAAGGCTAGAAACCTCAGCTGATTTCCAACTTATAGAGACCAGGATAGTCTCCTTTGGGGCATTTTCTTAGCACATTCAAGGTTGAGAAGGAATAACCTCTTCAATATTTGTTACTATGAATTGAAAAACATCCACAAAGATAACAAAGAGGAGAATGATTTCATATAGGGCTCTTCTCTGAGTTAGCAAGGACCAGAGAGAAGCTGCTTCTGTCACCCACAGACCTACAGGCTTAGACTCAGTCTTACACTGAGCTGCACTGAATGAAATCCATCAAATACAATGAGAAAAGGGTGGGAGAAACGATATTTTCCACATGGTTACTATCGGAAATAAGTCTTTGTGGTCACTCATTCTTTTTGTGCTTCTAGGCCTGGGAAACTTACCTGTACATGTGCATGTGTATGTGTGCATGTGTGTGGTGTAGACCATGGGAATAGGCTCATTTAGATAGATTCACTAGAGAAACTATTAGTAACAACATTTCATACAATAAGTAATTTCCATTTTTGATAAAGTAGTTATATAAAAAACAGGAGCTCAACTAGTTTTGATAAGACGATCAAGGATCATATTAGGAATCATAGTGTCTACCTGATTTAAAAAAGTATAGAGGTAGATATTACAGGTAAATATAGTTTGAGGGATATGTTAAAATATATGGTATAGTTTCACAGGACATGGAAGATTGACTTTTTCCATTCTCACTGCAAAATAGACTGGGGAGATGGCTCAGTGGAATAAGTGCTTCCCTAGCAAGCACAAGGGCCTGAGTTCAATCCCTGGTTCTGCCAAAAAAATAAAAATAAAAAATAAAAAAAAAGAAAAGAGATTCATCTCCAGAGAGATAAATGGATTAAGAACAAATGAATCTCTGACCTTAAAAATTAGGCAGGAATGTGTTTGTCTTTCAGTTTGACCCAGAGTCTAAGCAAATAGATGAGGGACTCTGAATTTTCACTCTGGTTGAAGAAGTATGCATTTGCAGTTATATTATTTTTACTATATTATTATGATCATATTATTGTCACATTTCAAAATGACATAGATTTTAAAAATGTAAAACATCACTTTTCCTTTGAAATTTTTTTGGCCTTTTATTGCATTTTAGGACCAAGAAGAAATTTTCCTTACATGGAGTTTAATCCCCTTATTTATAATGGTGGGAGGTGTGGCTCCGAGAAATCGAGTATTTAGGGTACCACAAATATTGACCATAGGGCCGGTACTGGACTGTCTACATCCATGTCTGAGATTCCTTTTCCATGAGGAAGCTGCATAGAAGCCATTTACCTCTCAGGGTTCCTTATTTCTCTTTAAATCTCATAATATTGTTAGAATATTAATTGCCTTGTGAGCATTCCAACATTAATTTTGATAGAAAAGCTAACAAGGAAAACTATTTGCTTATTTTGTCCCTAGGTTGGGTCTTTCATTTAGCTATATTTCTACAAGTTTTACTGTATTGGATTTTTTTCCTCTGCCCTATATTCTTTTTTTTTTTTTTTTTTATGTATTTAGGACAAGGTCTACAGGGTCTCATTACACAGATCAGACTCATACTGATTCTCCTGTTTTCAGCCTTCCAAGCGCTGGGATTACAGGTGTGTGCCACCATGTCAGGTCTCCATCACTGTCTGGGCGTGTCCTGGGGGCGGAGCCATCATGGCACGCAGGGGATCGAACGCCAGCCACTACGCTCTGCCTAAGCAGGCGCTTCAGTCCGCTGAGCTATCTGACTGGTCTTCTACCCTCTTTTCTTTCTTTCTTTCTTTCTTTCTTTCTTTCTTTCTTTCTTTCTTTCTTTCTTTCTTTCTTTCTTTCTTTCTTTCTTTCGGAACCAGGGATGGAACTCAGGCCCTTGCACTTGCTAGGGAAGCGCTTATTCTACAGAGCCATCTCTCCAGCCCCTCTGCCCGCTATTCTTAAAGTCCAAGTAAAACTCAGACTAAGATCTGTCTTCACTTATTTCCTAAAAAACAATTTCACTTTTCCGAAGTCACCGTGATCCTAGCACCATCCTCTACTCTTTCCTTTGGGGCAAAGTTGTTATTTTAATAAAT